CACACATGCATTTTTTGTTCCGAGTATGCAAGATCAAAATTTAGAACTTGAACCTGATCAAGAAATGCAATAAAAATGTTGGTGTCGATTAACTTCACCCTTTCTAAGTTAAAAGTCTACTCTATATGAAGTTTGCAATCTGCTGTTCATTGTTGTAAGTTAACAAAAAAAGGGTACCCGGAGCGATAGATAGCAAGTCGAACATCTATTTTTATGTGTGTTGGAACAATTAGAGTGTTTGAAAAATTTATTTATAATAATGTATGAAGTTGCAATAAATTTAGACGTTATTTAATTGTCAGCACCAATTTTTCAACCTTGAGAAGGCAAGGGTAAAGAAAGGTATGATACATACACTTGGTATTAATTGGTGTATTGATGATCATTATATCGATGGCTCTTGCTTAATTAAGCTACAAGGGTTACTATCATATCCCCTTTAGATCATTTCATGAATTAATCCGACTTTAAAATGTCTCATGTCATTCATCGTTTTCATGTTTAAAAAGTCTAATTTCTTTTACCATAAAAGTACACTCTCTTTAATTTCCCTTTTGAGAAGATTCTTCTTCGGCTGACAGAATTGCTCATGATTAACATATTGTTTTTACATATAACTTCTTATCGTACTGCCATGTAGACACGATTAAACATGGTTATAAGCAACAAATAATACAATCAACTGAAACTTGATGTTGTTAATTAAGCCAAGAATGAGTTAAAAATTAAGGTGCAAAGGTATGTATAGTGATACAGTAAATCATGCTATTTTTGTAGCTAGGAACTACTTGCACATCCTAACACTGTGGATTAATTTATGCCTCCAAAGTTCAGTTCCAAAATACAGACATACAGTGTCTCACTCAGGCGACTTCTCTGGCCTCTTCACCTGCATGAATACCCACTTTAGTAACTGTGTTGTTTTATTTGGCTGCAGGAAAAGAAATCCGGAGCGACTTTGGTCGCATGGGAAGACGCACCGCACCAACGACATCTGATATGTCGTTTCTCTCTTTTATTTTATGTGTTGTGCTTGCATATATGTCTTGGTGTTTCGATTGTTTGGATTAATTGTTCGTGGAAGTTCCGATAGATAATTTTCTTTTACGCTTAAATCAATACAGTTCTTACTTGAAATGTAATACCTAGTTTTGTAATAAGAATAATTATAATTTGTAAATATCATTTTTTTTATTAATCTAGATATCCAACACGCTATAAATATTTTTTTAAACAAATAATTAAGAAATCATTGAAAATCCTCTTAATTACTAAATAATATAAATCAGCGTACATCCATATATACATATATATATATATATATATATATATATTATTAATATTTTAATATGCTTTTTATTTAAAAGGTTTTAACTGTTTTACTCAAATTAACTAATCGCAAGAATTTTTATGAAATGCGACTAATATACGTTTGTGATCAGTGATTTATGGTGATCACTATGAAACTTTTCGATTTGAAAACTGACAAAGTTCTATTATTAGGACTGTTTCGATATAAAATATATCGTTGTTGTCAGTTTTAATAATCAAAAGGACTTATAAGTTATATATATATATATATATATATATATATATATATATATAGATATATATGCATTCAACAATTTACAAGGATCACAATATCGCCTTCCGATTTGAAAAATGATAAAGTTTTTATTATAGGGTCATTTGATAAAAATGATGGAAATGCGTCACTTATGAATCATAGAAATATCAAATAAGCACCGAACATGCATATACATTGAAAAATCTAAATATTAAAATATTAAAAAGATCAAAATACGACTATGAAAAATTTATAAAGACGGAAAAATGTATGACAATTACATGTCTATGGGTAGGTATTGTCAATAGGTCCCAAATATGCATGTATATTAAGATTTATAAGGGTTACATATATTGAGTTATGCTTAATAAAGATTATATATATATATATATATATATATATAATGCAAAACTTGTGAATCAAACCTTGAATATGTAAAATCTCATCCTTTGTAAACAGTACCCATCTTATATTACCGCCTTAGATGTTACGGTGCATGTAACCTTATAAATAGGTTAACCTACACAAAAGAATCATCAGAAATAAAAATATATACACGTAAAGGTTATAGCAAGGAAAATGTGGCAACTCAAAGTGAGTATATTATGTATTTCTACTGGATACATATGTGTTATTTAATCATAGTTTATGTGTTACGATATAATATTTATAGTTGTTACTTTGTCTAAAATAATATGTTATTTTATAACATTTATAGTTGTTACTCTGCCATAATAATATTTCTAAAAGTGTTGTGCATGTGAAAGTATGTCCATATTAAATACACGACGGGGTATAGTGATGGAAGTCGTCTTGCAAAACGGATCTCAGGAGGAAGATCCTTGCGGAATCCCAAGGATTCAGGATCCTGTTGAAAGTTTTGGACATACACATATGAGATCTCGCACTAATATATGTTTTATGTATGGAATGAATAATTTTTTTATATTATGTCATCATGAAAGCATATTTGCACATTATATATATATATATATATATATATATATATATTCCATGTATGTATCTCAGGCAAGATGGAGTGAAGAGGAAATGTGACGTATTATTGTTCTTATAATATGTTATTTGTAGTTTTGTATAATAATGTATCTGGATAACGTTTAGAATGTTTTTGTTTATGTATAAATTGTATGATATAATAAGCTTTATGATGTAATCGTTTTATTTTGAAAAAAATGGGATGATACATGAACTATCGAAATTAGGTTGAATTCGGGACGTTTACGTGGTTTCAGTTTTATAACAAAAACTAATTATACTATTAATTGAATTGAAATAAAATGTAGTCCTAATTCTTTTGTCTAATCTAACTTTTAATAACCTTAAATACTATAACATATAAGGAAAACACTTTAAGATTCAAAAATGTATATTTTTGACATAAACAAAGTTTTCACAAAACAACTTGAAACTCACCTTGTTATTCTAGGTTAAACCTTGATTTCAAACCCAAATCTTTATGATATCTACAAACAAATATGAAGTATCTCTAGAAACCTTATCTAGGTCACACTCAAGCTTAGAAATGCAACAAATATGGTTATAAGCTTCAACTTCACAAAACCCTCAAATACAACTCAAAACAGCCAAAAACTTACCTCTTTAGCAATCCTAAGACAATCCACCATAAACCGTCAATCTCTAAGGTTCTCCTCTTAATTTGTCCCAAAAACGTAACTAAAGTGCCAAAATCTCCAAGAGAGGGGGGGGGGGGGGTGTGGAAAAAATAGGTGGAAAAACCTTGAAAAATTGGGCTTAAAAGATGTTCTAGGGACTTTTTACGACCTAGATCGCTGGCCAGGTCATTCGAGTTTCAGTCTTTGCTACGACGTGTTCCAACTGTTTCCTGATCATCCCAAGACCATTTTGTGACCCAAAGGCTTCGATGACTTTTAATGAGGTTTCAGTGACATGGAAAGCCGCCCAGATTTTCCAAAACAGAAACTACCAAGTGTAACATTCTTTTAGACCATGAAACCAAACAGGTTAACGGCTCGTATATGAAGCTTAATATTTCCAATTTGCATCTAAATAATTCGATAAATCGGAAAATTTATATTTTAATAGTAGTGACGAGTTACACAGTGTTACAAATACATAAAAACATGTTTGGGATCATCTAATAATAATAGCTAATTATAATTATAATTTTAATTAGATTACCACTTGCAAATACATGGTGGTTGTCTTTTTCTTATCCACCAATTGCCTTTATTACTTTATATTGAAATAAAAAAAATTAATGATATTAAGGGGGTATTTGGGATTGCTTAATTAAACTGTTTATTAACTTATTTCGATGTGGTATCGATAATAAAAAGTTTTTGGTGTTTGGATGGAGAAAAAAAAGAAATACTTATACCGGTTTGACACTGGTAATAACTAATAAGGATTTTTTGATAAGTTACTCTCTCCTAACTTATTAACTTATTCCGGTACGGTACCGGAATAATAAATTTTTAGTGTTTGAATAGAAAAAAAATGGTAGCTCATCTATTTTATCAGCTTATCCAGTGTGATACCATCATAAGTTAATCTGAACACTTTTTTATAGAACTCCGGTTTACCACCACATAAATTGATAAACACTTTTATAAGAAAACATAAATTATTTTAAATAAGCAATCGCAAACACCCCCTAAGAGTGATAATGTTCCGTTTATAAAACATAATGAAAAAAGTTGGTTTCGGAAATGCAATGAAAAAACTCTCGATAAAAATAATATTATATAAACATGTACTATATACATATACCTTAATTATGTATGCATGTTTGTGTATGTATCGTACCTGGTTTAAGTCATGTATATAGTTAAATGACAACGAAGATGAGTTAAAGATTAAGGATAATATGAATGTAAGGTTATATATATGAATTTGTTCATGTTATCTTGCAACAAACATGATGGCACAATACGTTTAAAATTAAGGTCTACTACTTCTCAAAGGTGTCTACACAACCAAAAATTATGGTTATGCTTCAACCCGATGGCCATTTGTTGAAGAATTGGAGTTATGTATACTTTTTGACAAAATGCATATATTTAATTAAAATAAATCATATATTTATACCCGTAAAAATGAAACTTTTAATACCATTAAATAGCATCAATTAAATAAGCTTATCACAACTCACAAGCACTTGATCCTACGAATTTAGGTCATGAAATTTTGGTTTTCTCAAGTGTGTATTTATATTATTTTCACATATATCATAATTATTTATTAAATAATCAAGAAGATATTAAATATAAAGCAAAATTAATTTTAAATTTTAATTAGATTCCCACTTGCCCACCTCTTACCGTTGAAAACGTAAGGGTTCCCACTCACCCATGATCTCTCCTATCTTTCTATAAAGTAGTCTGTATTTTGCATCTATAAGCATGCAATCATCATCCCTTTGTTAATTTGTAGTCCAACAAACATGGCTCGTGAGCTAAACCCATTGTTTTCTGTCCTCACGGTTCTAGGGTTCATCCTGGTTCGAATACTTGTGGTTGTCGGTCAACCACAAGTCCCATGTTACTTCATATTTGGTGATTCATTGGTCGACAATGGCAACAACAATGAACTTAGAACAACAGCTAAAGCCAACTATCCACCTTACGGGGTTGATTTTCCAGAAGGTGTTAGCGGTAGATTCACAAATGGTCGAACATATGCTGACATCATCGGTCTCTCTCTCTCTCTCTCTCATTTTGAATTGACCATATAGACATCTAATAACAAGATTGAATTACAATATCCATCCTTCTGGTTTGCCAAAACTCTAGTTCTCGCGTCCTTCGACTTCAATAAGTATATGTATCCATGCCCCTGTGGTTTGCATTTCATTTTAGTTTAGGTCCGTAAGTTTAATGGATGTTTGAGGCACCGTTAAGTTGGGTCATGTGCCCCTCACCATTATGTTGGGTACTATTGATCATCAACGACAATAACAATGGACTTAGAACATGAACTAGAGCCTACTACCCACCTTAAGGAATTAATTCTCCACAAGGCGTAAGCGATAGATTCACAAATTTGTTTATATTTTTGTGCTTAGAGAGGGTGTTCTAAACATGTAACCAAAATTAATTAGGATCTTGGAGTAAAGTAAGAATATTCCGGTTAACAAACGGTTTGTTTGATTTCAGGTCAACGTTTAGGTTTTGCCGATTTCATTCCACCTTATGCCAACGTAACTGACCAAGAGATCGACATAGGAGTAAACTACGGCAGTGGTAGTGCTGGTATTCGAGATGAATCTGGAAGGAATTTGGTAATCACTAAAATGAAACTAATACCCATTGTCTTCATTTTTAATTTTTGGTTATCGTAAAACACCCTTAACCTGTAATGTTGTTGGTAACCAAATCAAAATTTTCTTGTAAAATTTACGTGGTTTAGAAGGTCTAATAGCTAGTATGTCCACACCTTATACTGTTCTTACCTAAGAACGTTTGTGAAAGACATCTAATTAGACATGCAAACTACCTACATTTTGTCGACCTTGATCGTATTTCAACGTTCCCTTTTGATTTGGTTGTGTTTAACTTGAACCCAGGGTGATAGGATCAGCTTGAATAGGCAACTACTTAATCACGTAAATATAATTTCACGCCTTTTACTCAAGCAAAGGAACGTGACATTTACCAATGATTATTTAAGAAAATGCATTTACATAGTAAATATGGGAAGCAACGACTACATCAACAACTACTTGATGCCTAACGATTACCCCACGAGCCGAATATATAACATTGATCAATATGCAGAAGTCCTTGTACGACAATACTCTCTACAACTAAAGGTACGCATTCTAATCTTCCATTTCCAGTAGATATGGTAGAAACGTTGTCTCACTTCTTTTTTTTTTCGTTTTGTGATATTTAATGTTTTATTGACCTTTACTTAAGTTTTTAGTGAGTTGAAAAAAGCAAAATTTGCATTTGATTCATATGGCAGACTCTATACAAATTGGGGGCTAGGAAGGTTGCCGTGATTGGTTTGGGTCTGATAGGGTGCACCCCAGCTGAGATAGCAAATTTTGGCACCGACGGAAAACCATGCGTTGACTCCATCAATGATGCGGTTAAGCGATTTAATGACAGACTGAAGCCTCTTGTTGATGGGCTGAACAACGATAACTCTGATGCAAGATTCACTTACATCAACATTACAAGCATTTCAACACCACAAGAAGGTAAAGCACAAAATTACAGGAGTTTAATTCCAATTTAGGGTGTTTCTTGTGGACTGCAACATCATATGCTTTTTTTCTGAGTTATTTTTTTGTAAAAACTTATTTATTTCAGAAGTACTTGCATTAAAGTTAATAGAGAGTTGATTTAATCAAAAGTTTGGATTTTGCAGGTGTATCATTACCAAATGTTCCTTGTTGTCCAGTAAGGGAAGACGGACAATGTGTTCCAAACTCAACACCTTGCCCGGTTCGGGATTTATCTGTTTTCTTTGATGGTTATCACCCTACGGAAATTGCAAACATAGGCCTTGCGACAAGATCATACAATGCACTCTCTCCCATGGATGCATCTCCATACGATATTAATCGTTTGGCTCAACTTTAACCATTGAACAAGATTGACTGATATGAATAATTGTTCTGCAATTATATTGTATGCATGAGAAAATAAGCAGTAAGAATGATACAATACTATTATCTTATTTGGTGTTTTTGTCGACATATAAAATTAACATCCATCCACAAACAAAATCAGCAAATTAATTGGGTAACTGGTTTCCATGATTTACTTCACTGCAAATAGTTAAAAATGTTAAAATGTTGTGGTGTCATAAATGTGTGTGCAAATGAGAACATGGTCAAAAATAAGACAAGAACACATCCAAATTAATCATAAGTGATTTTACATTTGATTATGAAACATAGTCAAAGCAAGGTGAGCCGGCAGCTTGGCACTACTAAAAAAATGGGTATTACCGACGAATTTTTTCTGGTTGAAATTCCGTCAGAAAATCAATGACGGATTTCTGACAGATCCAAAAAAGTCAAGGAAGTAAACATTCGTTGACTTCCCCCATAATTTTCACTTCAATGACTTTACCGATGGATTCCTAACGGATTTGTGATAGATATTTTACTTATTTGTTATTTTAATGAACCGACACAAACCCACCAAATTAGTTTAATTTTTTAAATAAATTAAACAGTGTTAATTAATTATATTTTCCAACGAAATTCTGACAGATTTCAATTTTAATGGTTTTTATTTAAAAATAAAATAAAATATGTCGGAATTATTTTAAGGGAAACATATTTTTTTTTACTTTTTTCTAAAATGATTATACTTTTCGACGGATTTTAATGGTTTTTATTTAAAAATAAAATAAAATATGTCGGAATTATTTTAAGGGAAACATATTTTTTTTTACTTTTTTCTAAAATGATTATACTTTTCGACGGATTTTAATGGTTTTTATTTAAAAATAAATAAAATCCGTCCAATATATTTTAAGAAAAACGTTTGTTTTTATTTTTTCTAAAATGATCTGTGCTTTTCGACGGATTTTCGATAGATTTTTAATGGTTTTTATTTGAAAAAAATAAAATCCGTCAGAAATATTTTAATTTTTATCTAAAATGATTTATATTCTCCGACGGATTTCAAATTTTAATGGTTTTTATTTAAAAAATAAAACTTATGTTACCAAGGAAGATGAGATCCAAAAAAAGAGTATCCAGACATGATGAATATGATGAAGAAGTTTACACAAATCTCAACAGTATTCGCCGACCCATCCGCAGTAAATTTGATATATTGTATTTATGAACTTGTGTCACTAATCGTACTTTAATTTTATTAAAGAATTTGTATTTGTATATTATTTCTTCCGGATAATCATATACTTATGACGGATTTGTGGATTGTATATTTGTATTTAATTTACAGGATATTTGTATTTTAGGATTTCTTGTTTTTTTTTTCCTATAACAACTACATCTCTGACGGATTTTGGAGGAGAATCTGTCGGTAAATAATTAAATTTAACCTTTATTAAAACAAATTTTCTGACGGATTGTCCGACGGAATATCTGTCGATAAATATTTTCATTTATTAAAAATAAAAAAATCATATTTTAAATAAGAAAAAACATTTTTTAAATATAATTACCAACATAAATTCCGACGGAAATCCGTCGAAGGTTTGTATTTTTATTTTTGAAATTAAACCGGTTATTATTTAGAATAAAAGTTTAAAAAAAAGAAAGAAATCAAATTACCGACGGATTTTCGACGGAAATTCAGTTGGTAACACTAATCACATTTTTTAAAGTTTCAAATTAACTCGGAAAAGGTATAACATTTATAAAATTGTTCGACGTATTTTTTGGAAAATACAAATCCATCAAAAATTCCGTCGAAAATTACCTTTAGAGGCGGGGTTTTTTCTTACGGCAACATCCGTCCGAAACTTGTTTTTCCTCCAGATTTTCTACGAATATTGCGGTTTAGAAAACCCATTTTTTAGTAGTGCAAGCCCACTTGCCCATCTCTTATCGTTGAAAACGTAAAAGTTCCCACTCACCCATCCCTCCTCTCTTACTATAAGTAGTATGTATTTTGCATCTAACAGGAATCATCATCTCTATTAACTTGTAGTCCAACAAACATGGCTCGTGACCTCAGCCCAGTGTTTTCTGTCCTCATAATTCTAGGGTTCATCCTGGTTCGAACACTTGTAGTTGCCGGTCAACCACAAGTCCCATGTTACTTCATATTTGGTGACTCATTGGTCGACAGTGGCAATAACAATGGACTTAATACAACAGCTAGAGCAAACTACCCACCTTACGGGATTGATTTTGTACCAGGTGTTACTGGTAGATTCACAAATGGTCGGACCATAGCGGACGTAATCGGTCTCTCTCTCTCTCTCATTTTGGATTGACATAGACATCTAATATTGAAACAAGAGTGAATTAATTTTTCATCCTTGCATGTCGTTTGTCAGAACTCTCTGGTTCTCATCGTTCGATTTCACTATATATATATATATATATATATATATAGGGGCTGGTTCAAATCCTAACCAAACATTTTGTACAAACTTTCTTAACCAACATCAACCAATAGTGTTGCATCTTTGAGTTAGGTTAAAATGTAACCTACATATTAATGATAAGGGTATTTAGGTCAATAAGCATCATAATGTAACTCCCAAAAATTATATGTGGGAGTTACAAATCATACAATATATCAAATTGATCTTGATATTCAATGACATGGAGATACGTATTTGTGGTTATGTATTAGCCCATAAACAGAAAATGGTCCATAAAGTATAYGTAATGAACAATAAAAAACTCAAATAGAAGATTTACCTTTTTTGTGAACCATGATGAACAAGTGAACAAGGTTATATATATAGGTTGGCCACATGATCATGTCCTTCAGCCTTAATATATGTTCATTGCGATACACCTGCATAACGATGTCACAAGCACGTTAACAACACATAGGATATATCGAATTAGCTGATTATAAACTWCTATATTAAGGTAATTAGACATCATTATGTAACTCCTAAATATTTTATTTGGGGGTTACAAATCTTTATAATATCTCAAATTGATCTTCCTATTCAATGACATGAATATTCAAAAATGTTCATCTGATTGAATTATATATAAATTCTTAATATGATCGGTTTAATATTGTAAATCTGAAAAAAGTCCATGTTGTAAGGATTCCGTTATAATCCGTGTAATATGGATGATCATAGAATAAATTGGTTTGACGACAATGRGATTCAAAAAGCTAAAAGTGTTTACGAACACATTCGTAATTCGAATGCAGAAATCGAAGAAGATGAACAAACTGTTCATTTTGGTAAGTGTTACATGCTATTTTCTACATTCATTTTAAATGAACACATATTACCTTCGAGAAGTATCAACTACTAYTGCTGCAATGGCTGTGCTACCTTATTTTAATACATCGAACAAACCCAACTACTCATGTTGGCATTCGACTCATTGAGTAGCAGACTGCAAGTGTTTAACAAGCTAAGTCATTTGTTTAATTCTGTCCATTCTTATTGAACATCTGAGTTCACTATGAGTTTGTTCATATTAGCTGTTGAATGGTTATGTTTTAGTCTAGAAACAGAAAATAGTCCCTGTAATGTACCTAATGAACACTACAAGATTCAAAAACATTAGTTTTACCTTGTGAACCATGATGAACGGGCTAATACAGATTGGTTGGTCGTATGAGCATGTCCTTCRGCCTTAATATATGTTCATTTCGATACACCTGCGCAACAATGTCACATGCACGTTAACAAAAACATAGACCGTATTCATCTATCTGGTTATAAATTTCTATATTTTGGTAATTAGTCATTCTATTATGAACACTGTAATCGATATAGTTGTGCATGTTAAGCAGCAGGTATTGATGATATCATCCCTTCACAGCCCGAAGCATATGGTTCAGCCGGTTCACATCCAGGTAAGCATTTGTGCATTACCATATAATTTGTGCATTAACATATAAACTCTATGAACATAAAATGGTCCATGTAGTTGTGCACAAGAAAGATATCAACTTGGATGTGCGTATTAGCTGTTCATACTATTAAATATGTTTTATTGGTTTTTTTTACATGTTTTAAATATATATGATGTGCATAATAACTGATAATACCATGAGTTTGTTCATATTAGCTGTTGAATGGTTTAAATCTATGATTCTTTTTCTTAGCATCCCCCAACCAGATTACAATGTGTTCTCGCATGATATTCACAGCCTTACAAATTCTTCTGTCTATAATCAGTTTGATGCAGAATAAAGTAAAACCAATTTCAACATATCGTTACTGATCGCCTATTTTAGGTACATACTAGAGATTGATGCATTAGGAAAGTATTGATTACTTATTTCCTATGATTGCACATGCCCCCCATCCGTATCGCACTCACTCTTCATATCCTATTGATACCTATCTCTCACCCTGTATCGATACTACTTTATATACATCYGGGCTMTTTGTAACTCCTAAAAACTGAAAACAGGTTTTTTWATTRGTATCAATTAGGCTTACACCGTYTGTTCATATTCAACGTTCATACCGTTCAAAGGATGACAATTATGTCAGCAATATGTTTTGTTGACTGGTTGATCAAGTGTACCTAACGAACACTAGAAGAAACAAACATTAGTTTTACCTTGTGAACCATGATCAACAGGGTAATATATGTTTGGTTGGTCGCATGAGCATGTCATTCAGCCTTTATATATGTTCATTGCGATACACCTGCACAACGATGTCACATCCACGTTAACAAATCCTATTTTACTTTGTCAGACTTCTAATATTTAGAAATATCATGTACTATTTCAATATAGTCTCAAAAATCTCAATCGGCATGTGTAAAYCTTTATCAGATAAATCATATTGATATCTCAAGTCACAGGTAGAACGAGTAGAAATGTACTAATGACTGCTTGTATTTKATCTGAATAGACATCAATACATATATAGATATAGACATGTTGAATATGTCTAATGCCAAYTGAAAGTTGAGCAACCTTATATATATACAAACAAAAGGAACAAAACAGTTGTCAAAGTATCAAGTAGATGTAGATAGGATTATGAAACTAT